CACATAATAAGGACAATAATTGTTAGCCATTTATAATCATCATCATTTTCACCATCACCGCTACTGTTAGCTGATGAATGTAAGATCTGTGATGCAATGCCAAAGAGCAACTGATGTTGCCTAAATTTTATTGACTTAATCCTTCCAAATGCTGACAAATTACTAGCCTCAGCCATTTAAAAATCACATTTCTAATGCAATAATCCTATCTGCAATGAGAGTGGAAGAAATTACTACAGGCCAGGGATTTTTACAAAGTGAATTAAGTCGCTATAAAAACTGACCATGTTGGTTCACAATTAAAAGTCTGGTAGAATGAAATGCCATTATTCCATAGCTTGCTAAGCCTTAAAGAAGAGATTACTGCTCACATGTCTCTACTGGGAATGTTTTTATAATCCCTAAAATGTCTCAAAAATTTTTAATGATAAATGCTACCGAACTTTTTCATTACTGATATTATCTACTGGCTGATCCTTTATCTAAAACACTTCTGAAATGGGAAAGATTCAAATGAAGCTTTCTGAAAATAGCCATGTGTTCTCAGAAGATTTCAGATAGAATTTCCTCACAATTAGTAAGTATTTAAAATGCACTGTCTGCTTTATCTATTTATAAAGTGTCTTACAGTGGCTTATAGGGAACCTTTTAAATAGAGCTATTTTTTCATATCCCTGTTTTGGAGCTGGGAAAATACAGAAATACACCACACACACACAAATACACGCCCCCTCCCCCAAGTCTAGACTTCCTTGGGGTCTGGATATTTAGAGTCTACGTTTGGTGTTTTACACCCCTGGACACATGCCTTTCATTCTTCTCTGTGATTCCTGGCCATGCTTCTCAGTATGTCTGGCTAATCGTCCTGATATTTCTGACCTAGGATATATGACTGAGAAAAAAATCTGATAGGAATATAGTTCTGGACCTTTTTTTACATAAGAGAAGATTTTCTCTTATTGATATGGAAATGAACAGATGTCTGATAACCTTCTGCCAACCTGGAACATTTCTGCTTACTCCAGGGAATTCCTTTGGGCTGATGTTTCATTGGGCTTACACTGTCAATTCAAAAGCTCTGTCACAGATATGAGAATGATCTAGGATAGCCCCAAAATGGGACACTTGGCTCCTTGGCTCCTATTTCTGGCTTTGTGCCTCAACCGTGTATGAAACAGGAAAGACACTCTTGCCAGTGGATATGAAATGATTTTATACTGACAGACTGGAACACTACAATGGGTAAAAGGACTGTTTTCACTGAAAATCCCAACACTTTACAAATCCATATTCTTTTGTTTTATCTGACCACTTCCATTTACCAGCCCTAGAAAAGAAATCATACAAACCCAATAAGGACTTTTTTACTCACTGAGGTACCAAAAGTTAATCCGAATGTTTTACCATCTGCCACCACGCACTGATCTTTACTCACCCAGGTGAGCTGCTATTGGAAAGGATGGATCCAAAGCATCAATAGGAGTTATGTGAGCTCACAGCTGCCACGTCTTCATTCAGAGTCTGTTTTACTCCTAAATCTGTCTCTTCTTCATCTCTTTGCAGAAGCCTCAAACTCAACGCATAGAAAACCAAACCCATTATCATCCTTCTCTGTGAGCTCCATCCCCATCTGTATCTCCTCCCATTTCCTGTCTCCCTTTACACTATCCCTACCCACCCAGTTACCCAAGCTAGAAACCTCCAAGTCATGTCTCCTTCTGCTGTGAAGCCTTTCTCCAGTGGCCACATGACTACTGAGAGTGCTCAGAACAGGTCATCTTCAGGCCACCAAAGCCACTCTCTAATTCCTGGGACCAGCCAGACACCTCTGCACGGGCTCACCAGCACTTCACCTCCCCTCCTTAACCAACTGTCCCAGCGACAAACTGGGAACATTCACTGGGGCTTGTGACCTACCAGTGGGCATAGTGTGGGAACTCGTGGCAGTATCATATCTGGGAAATGTACTGACAAAACTAGAAACTGAAAGTGGATAATGTTTTGTAAGAAAAACCCTAAATTCTGTAAAACATAAATCTAACAGAATCTTGGCTAATTAATAATCATCAACTCTCACGTCTTTCTCTAAAGAATGGAAGCACTTTTCAAACCTTATCCAAAATAATTTGTATGACATTCTAACAGTCTGAATCATTTTTTTTCTTAGTATATTAATGGGAAAGCTAAAAATAAAGAGGAAACTGATTTACTCAATGTCACAAAATAAATCAGTGGTGGAGAAAGAACTAAAACCAAATCCATCCTAAAATAATAAGGTTCCTATTCTGCCTTTGACTTTTAAATGCCTCTGTAGGAGACTTTTAACACCACCCAGTAGAATTTAATACTCTATTTAAGAAAATATTCCCCAAATATAGCTAAGCATCTTAAGCGAATTACAAAGATGATTTTTATTAATTGCTCCTCAAAAACATGCCTTTATCTTCCAGACTCTTACTCTCCATGGTGAACTACATGTTGGAGTCACAATGACATCTCTTGTTCCAATGAAACTTAACTCCTTCCATGCCTGAGGGCTACAGAGGTCCACAGTTGGCTCATAATCCAGTTCTGGGAAGAAGAAAAGCCTTGTCTCCGAGTTACATGGGCCTCCAACCATGGTGCAGGAGAGAACACCAGGTTTGTTCGGTTAAAATGTTGCAGACTTTAGAGGTGTAATGGAAATTGTACCTAATCTGAGGGTACCGATGCTTAAAAAAGAAAAAAAAAAAACCCTAAAATTATTATTCCCAGAGACAAGCAGAAGATTTGTAGTTAAAATTGAGGCCCCATACCTCATTCCCACCCACGAGGTAATTCAAATCACCCTTGTTTCGGGCTAAGCCTGGCACACACTCCAGTAACAAATGTCATGTTCCACTGTGCTTCGTCTCATGTAAACTCCACGGAACTGAGGCACTGGGTGATATTCCTGTGTGCACGTAAAGTGATCCCAGTGACTGTCCCACGACGCACAGCTCTCCTCGAGACCAGCCTGGATCACTGGGAGGCAGTGCCAAGCACTGCGGTTCAGCAGATGCCATGCTTCTTCTGGAACCATCACTCTCCCCTTATGATCAGTTTCCCAACATCACTATTATCAGGACGTAAATAAAGTCAGCAAATACACTGTGCAGCCTCCTGTAACACTGTGAATGAATTTTCCAGGCTACTTCAACAAAAATAAAAACCTGCTTTGTCATATGACTCCACAAAACGTGATGAATGCCTTTCAGTCTCAACATTTGTTTCTTCTTCCTTTCTTCCCTTTCCTTCCCTTCCTTCCCTTTCTCCATTTTTATGAAAACGGTATATTTTGATTTACCTTAGCACACAAGGAGCACTCAAACAGCAACACAAAGCAGCTATTGTAAGAAAGCGTCCTCAAGAATGTTCTAGAATAATTTGGTAGGCTGCAACTTATTAGGATTGCCAAATATCACGTGTTATATCCTTAAGAACCAAAGTTCTTCTAAATTTATCAGAGGCTCCTGTGTGATTATACAATTTCACAGAACCCCACACTCTTCCACTGTACCACTCACCACAAATGGGAGTAAACAACAAATTGTGCATTTTGTGGTCAATGTCTGTATCCTCCATTAGAATATAAGCTCCATGTGGACAAGGACTGTATGCACTTATTTCATTACTGTGCCTCACACAGTGCCTTGAATGTGGTAGGAAATCAAAGAATATTGATAAATGACCAAAACAGCAAATAAATTTGAGTGAAGAAATTGTTAAATCAGAGCATAGAGCACGCAAGAGTGGTGTGAGCTTCTAGAGTCCCAGAAACTGATTCTTGGGGTGTCCTAACCCATTTAGTATCAAACCACAGAAATGGCATACTGACAACAATCCACAAGTCAACTATCCTTAAGATAAATTCTGGATTCATAAAACCAATTCTCTTGGTGGTACTTTTCCACATTTACAATTTTACAACATCTGTGGGTATTTGTTTACTTTAACCCTTGCCTATGAAAACATCAATGTGCGTGTATTTGGAGAAGCAGGGGGGCAACCAGATGTAGTTATTCCTAAACTCCACTACTCAAAATCACAATATTTCAGTTCAAAAGTCACAGGAATATAAATCAGAAAATGCCATTGAACAAAGAGTGTTGGAAATCTCCACAGCAATTTACTCTGTTTTCTCGGTGTTTCTCTCCAACCACTGATAAAAATTCTCAAGTGGAAGAGTAAATATTATCATTTGATAGTACTTGGACCCAGTGGTGCAGATATAATCGCACTGTGTTGTTACCCTCTGGGGCTCCGCGCACACCACCGCGCAGCGTTGCTATGGAGGAAGCGCCGTGCTCGCGGCTGGAGCAGGCCAGGAGGTAGCGGCGCTCCGAGGAGCTCTCCGCCCGCCCCTTAATCTTCCTCAGACACTCGGAAAGTTAGGGGGGAAATGCTGGCTTTCCAATATGTGTGTTTCTGTTTCCGTAATCCTGGGAAGGAAGGACCACAAATAGGTAATGGGAAAGGCCGACTCCTACATTATCAGGTTGCTTTTACTACTCACACCGACGTTTTTGGAAAGGGTAGGAGTGGGGAGAAAAACCTGAAGAGCGGCCAGCAGTCCGGGCGGGCGGCAGAAAGGACAGAATCCCAGGAGCTGGCGTCAGCGCGTTCGCCCGCCTGCCGCACGGCCAAGGTTAGCGGCCGCGCGGAAAGAGGGTCTGGGGGACCGCAGCGCCGCGCGGGGCCAGGGGATGGGCGGGCGTGCGCACAGGCAGCGCAGACAGAGAACTTTAAGGAGAGGAGAGCTGCAGGACAAATGGCTTGGGCCATCCCCAGGGGACAGGGAGACCTGAAGCCGCGGGCGCACCGTGCCCGCTCTGCGCCCCAGGCGGCTTGGCGAGGGAGACGCGCGGGGTGGCCCCCTGGCCCGGGGTGGCCGAGCCGTGCCAGCGCCCCCCAGGGTGTGGAGCAGTCCCCAGCGCCGCCAGGGCCCCGCAGCCCTCCCTCCCGGCCCGCGGCGCGCTCACCTTGCCGGGGAAGGGCCCCGGGAGCAGCAGCTTCAGAGCCTGCCTCTTCAGCTCCACCAGGCGGGCGTTGCAGTTCTCGCACCAGACGCCGCGGTCCGAGCCGGGGGAGGAGCCGCCGCCGCTCCCGGAGCCCGGGGAGCCGGTGCCGAAGCCCGGCGAGCCGCCCAGGGAGCCCGGCGAGCTGGTGCCGATGCCCGGGGAGGCGGGGCCCGGGGAGCCCGTGAAAGAGCTCGGGGACGAGGTGCCCGAGCCGGGGGACGGGGTCCCCGAAGAGCCCAGCGCCGAGCCCGCGCCCTCAGGGGTGGGCCGGCTCCCGGCACGCGACTCCTCGTAGGCTTTCCGGTACCAGCTCTCGGGGGAGAAGGGCGCAGCCGGCTTGGTGGGCGAGCAGACTTCATTCACCTGCGGGGGGGACACGCCGCTGTCAGGGGCCTCACGGCGGCGGGCTCCCGCGCCCCGGAGCCGCGCCGGGCTGGGGGCGCCCTCCCGCCCGCCTTCCCGGGGACCTGCGCGCCACCGGGAGCGCGTTCGGGACCGCTCTGAGCACTCCGGCCAAATCTGCCTCCATCTGTCTCGTTAATTGTCCTTAAGTGAGTCCCCACCGGCCGGTTGCCCCCCCGCGCCGGGTCCGTAGCGCGGGCGGACGGCTCCTCCGGTCAGGCGGAGAGGGCTCGCTCAGGGGGGTTCAACGGTTTCTGCAGGGGGAACCCACAGACTCAGCGCCCTGCGCTTTTGAAACGGCACCCATGCCAGCCAGAGCCCAGGTTCAGGATCCTGGAAGATGCTCTTGGGGGGCGGGGGGGTTGGAGCGGCTGTGACTTTTGGATTTTTATTCGTTCGGGGTACAGCCCTCCGGATCCGGAAGGTAAATGAAAGGCTCTCCCGCCCCAGGGAAATGATCCCGAGGAACAGCCGAGAATTCCTGGAAAACCCTCCCATTCGGCTTAATTCTGCCTAGAAGTGCAGGAATGCTGCAAAAGTTAGGGGTGCGGGGAAGGGAAGGAATGAGAGGACTGAAGCATTCCGAGGGCCCGGCGAGTGTGCGGCGTCCTCGCGGGCAGACCCGCCTCTGCGCGCGCCCGCCCGCCCGGCCGCCCGGTGGAGGCGCCTCTGCAGCGGGAGGAGAGCTCGGAGCCGCCCTGCCAGGGCGCACGGTACCCGGAGAGGGGTGACCCCAGCCGAGATGGCTGTGGTAAAGCGTCTCCGCATTGTACCCGTCACAACTTACCCCGTATTTCTTGCCCCTGGTGGAGACCGCCAGCCTCTCTTTATTCCCAGCTACCGAATTCATGGTGGCTTTTGCAAAGGAGAGTGTAAATGTTCCACCAATGCTACATCCAAAAGGTGCTCCAACCCAGAAGGTCCGCCGCTTATAGGGGGCTGTCTCTTGGCCCTCAAGTCAAGGTTTCTTAACGTGGGGTGGGGGGAGAATAAAAGCAAATGGACCCCAGAAGTAATAGCACCAATTTGCAGAAAGGGTTGGAGAGGCTGATTTACTCTTCTCTTCAAATAATGCTTTCCCTCGTCCTCTTCTGCCTCCTCCAGCCACACGTTCTCTTCTCACGGCCACATCCAGATAACTGGCGTTTTCCTCAGCAAGTCAGTCCGTTTTCCTCCACGAGGGAAGAGAGGAATACAATCGGGGCGCCCGGCAGCTGCAGAGAAGGTGGGCGAGCCCTCGCCTCGCCTCCGCCGGCGATCGGGCTGTGGGAACTTGTCTCCTTCACGGAGCTGGGTAACTGAGTTCGAAGAAATTCTCCCAAAATATAAAGATCCAGACTGGGGAGGAGCCTCGGCGTGTCGCGGAGCCAATATCCGCCGGTCCGTCTTGCCTGTCAGATGTGCGAGGGCAGCGCGAGGGGCGGCTCGGGGCGCCGGGAGCCGGCCGCGGTCAGGGCGCGCGTGTGCGCCCGGGCGCAGCGCGGAGCCTCGGGGAGAGCGGCCCCGCCGCCCGGGAGCCCGCCGCCTGGCTGCTGCCGCCGCGCCGGCCGGGCTCCATTTTATGTTGCGGCGCTCCTGCCTGACATTGAGAGGCCGAGCGCCGGGGGAGGGGATCGTAAATCTCGCTCCTTGCGAGGAAGTTCCTGGTGAGTGGCCCGTGTCCAGGGCTCTAATGAAACACCAGTGCGCGCGCCTGGAGCCGAGGGGCAGCGCCGAGCGAGCGGGGCTGGACAGAAACGCTGCGCCCGAGCCTCCCCCGCCCCCAAGTTCTTTCTCTTCCTGGCAAGGCTTGCAGGTCTGCCTTTGAAACGCCGTATAAAAGGATTGAGTCACAAACAAGTCCACAAACATGCCGGGTCCTCCCCCCGCCCTTTGTTCTCCTAGACCTGCCCTGCAAACCTTTTCTGGAATTGCCCTACCAACCCCCAGCCGGCCAGGGGCCCCCCCCCTCCCAACCACAGCCCGAGCACTGGGGGCTTTCGCCCCCCACCAGCCCAAGCCCCAGTCTGCGAGGTGCCTGCCGCCCAGGGCTGGGACAGGTGACCCTGGGGGTCCAGCGGGCAGCCGCCGGGCTGGGGAAACTGAGGGATTGCACACGCGAGAGCGGACGGCGCGGGCCTGGATGGGGGGTGTGTGCGAGCTGGCTTTGGCCTCGCCCTGTCCGGGTCAGCCCCCTCAGCACCCCTCCTTCCTTTTCTTCCCTCGCTGGGGACCCGCGGAGTCCCGGGAGCACCCAGTCATCGCCCCTCTCCGATCCCACCTCCCGCCCCCGGCGCAGCGCCCAGGAGCGCAGGAAGCCGGCATATGCCAGGCTCCACACGTGGCTGCTCCGGGGTGTCATTTTTCATTTCCCAGGAGGACATTTCTTCTGGTGAGCCGGCAGGTCTGTTTTGTTGTGACCTTTAATTAACACCCCACGAGACGCCTCTCGAAGGACCGGCCCTGTGCGGGGATCACGTGAGGTGTAATGGCATCTCCGCTCCCGGGAGAGACCCAGCCTGGGGGTAGGCGAAGGCGCGAAGGACGTCTGGGGCTTTCCAGTCGCTAGATTCCTTTTCAGATATGGAAGGGGCAGGAAGACAATATTCTCGGGTGCTGGAACCCTGGGGCGTCGCCCTACCCACCCTGCCTTCCTCAGGGAAAATTCCTTCCGCGCCGCCCTCGCGCTGCCATCCACCCACTCCCCGCTCCCGCCGCAGCCCTTGCGTGGGAATATGTCACAGCCACCAAAGCGAGGTAAGAAGGTCAAAATGAAGATGTCGAGAACACTGTGGAAGTTTCCATTACGTGCCCACTTCCAATTTAAAAGCGATCCCATCAAGAGAAGACAGGGGGGCAGGTATGCCTCCAGGCAGCACGCGCCAGCTCCCAGGCACATCTGTATTCCGCGGAGGTGCCGCGAGAAATAGAATCCCCATTAGCTGCGCCCTACTTATCAGCCGAAAGGCAGAGTGTGGCCAGGTGAATAGACGAGCCGGTGAAACCGCGGGCGGGGAAGGTGGGGTGTCGAGGGAGAGCTATCGGGGAGCTGCGAGATTCACCTTGGAGACAGAGGGGACTCTAGCTGGTCTGATTTGCATCCCCAAGTAGCTGGGTCCCCAAAGCGTGTTTGGTGAGCTCGGAGCGCCCTCTGCTGATCAAAGTGAACAACCGGAGGCCCCGCGAGAGAGTTTGATTTGGGGCTTCAAAAAATGTGTGTAAAATTTATGCACAGTGAAATCCACAAATTTTAAGTGTACAATCCTATGAATTTTGATAAATGTATACTCCCAAGTAAGGCTCCACCTCAATAAAGATATAAATTTCCATCTTTCCAGAAAGATCCTTTCTGCCTCTTCCCGGTGGATCCCCACCCCTCATGCACAACCACTGCTCTGGTTTCTATCATGGATTAGTTTTGCCTAATCTTGAACTTTTTACTCATAGAATCCATGCAGTATGTATTCTTTTGTGTTTGGCTTTTTTCGCTTAACGTAAGGTTTTTTGGGTTTTGTCTTTTTGAGGAAGGTTAGCCCTGAGCTAACTGTTGCCAATTCTCCTCTTTTTGCTGAGGAAGACTGGCCTTGAGCTAACATCCGTGCTCATCTTCCTCTACTTTGTATGTGGGACACCTACCGCAGCATGGCTTGCCAAGTGGTGCCATGTCCCCACCCGGATCCCAACCAGCAAACCCCGGGTCACTGAAGCAGAACACGCGAACTCAACCACTGTGCCACCAGACCGGCCCCAACATAAGGTTTTTGAGCTTCGTGTTGTCGCTAGTATCGTGGGTTTTCTATTTGTACTCTTTCATTCCTGACTCTCCTTTCTTTTTGTCATTAATTGAATACTTTTTAATGTTCCTCTGTCGTCGCTCTATTGGCCTTTTGGCTCTAATGATTATAATATGCATCTTTCACTTATAGTGGGCTAGAGGTAACATTGTGCCACTTCACACCTAAACTGTAAGAAACTTGCAACAGTATAATTCCATTTTACCTCCCTCCTTTGTGCTACTAGTTTTCTGTATTTTATATCTATATACATTATAAAACCCACAATACAATCTTATCAGTTTTACTTTAAACAATCTGTTGTCTTTTAGTAAAGTTTAGAAAATTTTAAATATATAGCTTTTTTATATTTATCCAGTTTTATCATTTCTGGGGCTCACCATTTTTTTCCTATAAAGCCAACTTTCCACCTGGGTCATTTCCCTTCAGACTGAAGAACTTCCTTTAGCATATCTTGTACTGACAGTCTCCTGGCAACAAATTCTCTCAGCTTCTGCTTATCTGAAATGTCTTTGTTTCACTTTTGTGTTTGAAGAATAGTCTAACTGGATGTAGAATTCTTGGTTGACAGTTATTTTTCTTTCAGTCCTTTAAAGATGTCATTCATGCCTTCCTGGCCTCTGAATAGAGGTCAGCAGTGATTCCTATGGAGTTCCCCTGTATGTAATGTGTCCTTTTTCTCTGGATGCTTTGAAGATTTTCTCTTTACTGTTGGTTGTCAGTAGTTTGTCTATGGTGCTCCTGGATGTGGTTATCTCTGGATTTATCCTGCTTAGGTTTGGCTGAATTTCTAGAACCTATAAGTTGATCTGGATGTTTTTCAGCAAATTTGGGGGAATTTCAGTCATTATTCAAATTTTTTTCTGCCCCATTTTCTCTTTCCTCTCTTTCTAGGACTCCAATTAAATGTATATTATTATACTACTTGACATTGTCCCATAGGTTATTAGGCTCTGTTCATTAATTCAATCCTTGCCCTCTATTCTTCAGATTGGGTAATTTCTCTTGATCCTTTATTAAGCTTGCCCACCCTTGCTTCTGCTCTCTCCAGTCTCTGTTAAGCCTATCGAGTGAATTCTTCATTTCAGATATTGTACTTTTCAATACATACACACATAGTTTCCATTTCTCTGCTTCTTTTTCCTTGAAATCCTAGAACATATTCACAATAGCAGCTTTAAATTTCTTGTCTGCTAATTCCAACATCTGGCTCATTTTGGGGTCACTTTCTATTAACTGATTTTTCTCTTGACTCTGAATCACATCTTCCTATTTCTTTTCATATCCAGCAAATTTTAACTGTATGCTGAATATTGTAGATATTGCAACACAGAGATGCTAGATTCTGTTATCTGTTATCCTCTGAAGAGTACTGATTTTGCTCTAGTGGGCAGTTAAGTTAGTGGTGGATCACTCACAGAGGCTCAGCTTTATGCTTTGTTAGAGCGATTCTATTTAGGTTTTGTACTTACATCTAAGAAAAATCCCTTAGTCCCAGGACTTGTTCTTCACCCCTAAAGGATGGCCCTTCTGGAGTTTCAATGGAAAGCCTAAAGTGTTTGTCAGCCCCTCTAACTTGGGACTTAAACCCAAGCCCTGCTCCCGGCAGAGACAGCAGCTGCTCTGCTCTGTCAGCTTCTAGATGCTGCTTTCCCCTGAGCTTCTGTAACTCTTCCATGTGTGCAAAATTCAAAACTGTCAGCCAAGGATTTGAGGGGAATTTGGTGGGGCTTTTAGGGCTGCCTCACTTTGGCTCTCTCCTTCCCAGGACTTTCCTTCTTGCTTCCCAGCTACAGCCGTCAGCTCCACCACATAGCACCTCAGACCAAGAAGACTGGCTTTCTCCTCGACTTTTAGCCACCATGCCCAGCAGACTGGAAAAAACCCACATACTCCTTCTTTCCAGTCTCTGCTGGCTTTTGGCAACTGTCCAGTGCCTTTAAATAGGTTTTTTGTTGTTGTTATCCAGTTTGTAATTGTTTTCTTTGGGAAACTCAATTGTACATGAAGTACTCCCTAATATGTTTTAATTGTGGCTTTTTCAAGTCTACCTTCAGTTTTTAGAATTCTTATGGTTTTAAGTGTTTTTATTCTGTGAGTTAGAAACCTAAATAATTAGTCTTTAAAGAGACTAGCTATAGTTTTACTTTCTGTTAGACTGAAGGAGTCTAATGATGCAACCAAACCCTGAACTGATAGATGGATGATGGATAGAAATCTACATATCTGTATAATTTCTCACATCTACACATTCAAGGATGTTAACAGCATTAATTCAAAATTTAGGTTAAAAAAATCATTCATTTTATAAATGAAAAAATTACATACTGGCTTCTAAAAGCCCAGAGCTTCTATAAACACCAATTTATTTATTCCATTGACACTGCTGAGTGAAAAACAGTGTCTCCCTGTTATATCCATAAGTACAAAGTGCCAAAAAAGTTTAAGTCCATTATCTGGCTAAGAATGCAATTCTTATTCCACATTCCTTGTTGCTTAATTATTAAATGGACATAATTTCTATGGGAATGCTTCATGGAACTTTTATATTTTCAGAAAATGCAATTTAGCTTTCTCATTATTTATACCTCAGGAGTGAGTAGCTTATAAATTTTATGGCTAAAATATATTATGTCACTGTGTTTTTGAATGTCTAAAAGCATAACTCAGAA